TTAGTGATGCCATTTGGGTGGTTGTAGACCGGTTGACTAAGTCGGCGCACTTTATTCCTATGCGCGTGAGAGATTCGGTAGATCATCTTGCCGACTTGTATATTCGGGACATAGTGAGGTTGTACGAGGTTCCAGTGTCGATCGTCTAAGATAGAGATCCATGTTTTACTGCTAGGTTATGGCAGAGTTTGCAGAATGCCTTGGGCACTAGATTGACCTTTAGTACGGCTTATCATCCTCAAACTGACGAGCAGTCCGAGCATACTATTTAGATCCTTGAGGATATGCTTCGAGGCTGTGTCCTTGACTTTAGTGGGTCATGGGAGAGGCACTTGCCCTTAGTAGAGTTGCCTACAACAACAGTTTCCAATCGAGTATTGGTATGGCACCGTTTGAGGCCTTGTATGGCCGATCGTGTAGGTCTCCAGTGTGTTGGACCGAGGTGGGTGATACATCTTTGTTGGGTCTGGATTTGGTTTGGGAGACGACGGAGAAAGTTGAGCTTATCCATAAGAGACTTGTTACAGCCTAGAGTCGCCAAAAGAGTTATGCCGACCGCAGGAGGAGGCCTTTCTTATTTGAGGTGGGTGATCATGTCTTTCTGAAAATATCACCTAGGCGAGGTTTGATGAGGTTTGGGAAGAGTGGGAAGTTATCCCCTCGGTTCATTGGCCCTTTTGAGATCCTTGAGCGGATTGGAGAGGTTGCCTACCGTTTAGCATTACCGCCGCAGTTGTCCGGAGTGCATGACGTGTTTCATGTTAGTATGCTTCGAAAATACGAGCCGGATCCGTCGCATGTATTGGATTGGACCGACTTAGAGGTTGATGAGGATGCCTCGTATGAGGAGAGACCGATGCGGGTCTTGGATAGACGGGATCAAGTCTTGTGAGGCAAGAGCATTCCCTTGGTAAAAGTTTTGTGGAAACATCACGAGATTGAGGAAGCCACTTGGGAATGTGAGTTGGATGTCCGTAAGAAATATCCGGACTTGTTTGATAATGTTTAACCATGTATTGGAAGTTTTGTTTTATTGATAAAATTTAAGAACATTGAATATGTCTTAAGTTGTAAAACATTGTATATGTTTTGGTTTATGGGAGTATTGTAATGGGTGGTTATGCCTTGAAAATGGAAGATAATTTAGCATTGTATATGTTGAATGTGTGGTAGGAATGCAAATATATCATTAACATTGAATATATTATGAAATGGTGGAATATGGTATTGGAATTTGTTGAATTTCAAAGAAATGCATGTTGTAGCATATATTGTGATTGCCTCTTGAATAGAGATGGGATGACCGGTAATAGGTTAGGATGTGGAATATTGAATTGTAATATTGTTGAGAATTGAAAAATCACAATTTTGAAACTTATATGTAATTTCAGGGATGAAATTCTTTAAGGGGGGGAGGTTATAGCGATCCCAGTTTTCCCTCCATTGTTTATTGTATTCCGAACTTAGGTTCCGTGGTGTTGGTTGTTGTTTATATCTTGTTTCCGTTCTTTAATTCCTTGTATTCGAATTTTGGGATGTATTGGGCAGGTGTGTTACAGGCTGGTAGTGAGTTTAAACCAATAGTTGCTGCCCAGATTTTTGCTTCTTTGCTCGAGCGAGGCTTTTTTCGCTCGAGCGAGCTCTGTGTTATAGTTCCTTCGCTCGAGCCAGGGTTCCTTCGCTCGAGCGAGGGTTGAGTGTTGTGCCTTGTGGTTCGAGCGAAAAGTCTTGCGCTCGAGCATGCGTCTGCGTCTAGTTTTGGACTTGAAGGTTGTGTTTCTTGGCTCGAGCGAGCGAGGACTATGTTTTAGATTTCTTCGCTCGAGCGAGCTTTCCTTCGCTCGAGCATGCTTCTGGGTTGCAGACCTGAAGCTTCGTATTGTTGGCTCGAGCGAGGTTTCTTTGTGTCTGGTCGCTCGAGCGACCACTCCTTCGCTCAAGCGAGCTTTGAATATATCAGTTGGTAGCAGTGGGTTACACTTCACTTTTTTATCTCCTTTTTCTCTCAAACCCTAGAACGACTGCCTCTCTCTCTAAACTGTCACTTCTCTTTACAAATCCATCTAGTTCTAGTAGTCTCCTACCCTAGTTCCTTTGTATAACGTGTAGAGCTTGGTGTAGGCTTCATTTCAATCCGAAAATCTTTGGGTTTGGAGCATTTCGAGTTTTATCATCTTCTCCATTTGGTCTCTCCATTTGAGGTAGGGATAACCTACTCCTTTCTCTGGGTTTTGACATAGATATTATGTATTTTGTGTAAATGGTGGATCATGGTGATTTTGAGAAAGTTAGGGTTTGTTATGAGGTTATGAAAAAAGGGAGTTTTCAAATGTTAAACTCCATGTGTATGTGAGACCTTGGAAAATGGGATTTATGTTGTTAAATTGACGAAGTTGAACCTTAGGGTTGATAATGGAAAAAGGAGGAAAATGCCCTAATTATGTTGAATAATTAATTTGAATGATTAATTTGGGGAATTGTGAAATTGAGTTGGAAATTGTGAAATTGGGAAATTATGAGGTTGATTGATGTAGTTGGATAAATTAATCACTCACTTATGAAAATGTTGTTATTTTATCTGTTTAATGCATTTATTATCTGTTTAGAAATAACTGCTTTGGGCTATTGGTGGAGGATAGTCTTGATTGTTGTAGATACTGTATGTTGATTAGGGAAAACTGAAACTAATCACTTGGAATATGCCATTGAATATGACGGTTGGAATAATACATTGAATATATGTATTGATTGATCATTGTATATGATTGACTATTTAAATACATTGTATATGTATTTTGTTTGGGAGGAGATAGGAGATGTACTCCTTGGTTTGAGGGAAGATAGGGGATGTACTCTCAAACCTGTTTGGGAGAAGATAGGGGATGGACTCCATTAATAACTAAGTTGGTCGGAGTGTCCAGGGTGAAAGTCCTGAAATTCTAATTACGTTTGCATAACGTAGATAATTGAAGTATTGGAAGTGTTTTTGACGTGAGTTGTAGTCTCATTTGAATTGTGGACAAAGGAAGTGTTTTAATATGAGATGTAGTCTCATCTAATTGTTTGGCCAAGTTCTGAGCCATGTTTATGAATTGAAAATTGGATAATTAAAGGAAAATGGAATGAAATATGGACCATTGGTCATGGAATTGAAATGTGTTGTAATCTGGTTTACAAGTGTTAACCATTTATCGAATGCTAATGTTTTAGTTACTGCTCATATTTGGTTTAGTATATCTCTACTGCGCTTTAGCTCACCCTATATGGGACATCATTTTCAGGTTTAGGTGATATGTCACCTCCAAGGACGTAGCTTGGAAGGTTTTGGGAGTTGAAGACTCTTTTGGTCGTTTTGTTATTTTGGTATTACATGTAAATCCAAGCCAAGCGCGTAAAGTGTATTTGAATTAGTACTCTCTTTTTGTAACCAAGTGTTGGCTTGTAAAGTTGTAAGCCCGTAGAGCATTTACTTTTGTTGTCAACATGTAATACTTTGGTAATGAATACTCTGATAAATGGAAATTATGTTTTATTCTCTTATGTCTATACATGTCAAGAATGTGGATTTATATGTATTATTTTGGGGGCGTTACAGAGTCCTAGCCATTTCATAGGCTCAGGCTTTGATCTAAAGCAGATTGGAGCATATTATTGGGTTCTTTGGGTTCATCACAGAGTATGCATTGATAATTTGAACCGTTTGATGTATAGTGTTCATCAAGTACTTTATCTTTGTAAAAAAGGTAACAATAATCGGATACCGATAGCCATTTGATTAGATCAAATTTGTGTCAATAGCAATATAATTTTAAAAATAAATTTTTGATACAAATATGATTTAATCAAGTAACTATTAATATTCGATCAATATGATTTTTTTACAGGAATAAAATAATCAATGAATCTTACACATTCAACAATTTAAAAAATTGATATAAGCTCCATGGTGAGTCCATAGAAACCCAACAGTACACTCAAATTAGAAAACCAAATTGGAGATAAACCTTTCCCTATTTCATGTATTCCACATCTTAGAGACTTCCAACAGTACACTCAAATTAGAAAACCCAATTGGAGATAAACCTTTCCCTATTTCATATATTCCACGTGTTAGAGACTTCCATCTAGAAGTTATAATAATTATATACTATAATTATTAACGGTTCCTATATTTTAAAACTTATATTACTTTGATCTCTAATTTTTTAATTATGACATATTTGATCTTAAATTTTGAATCTTGTTTTAAACAAGGACAATTGAAGATACTATTACTTAATTTTAAGGGTCAAATCGTCAATTTGATAAAATACAAACCAATTGATAAAAATAAATGTCAAAAAAATATTTTTAAGTTTTAAAAATTATTTACTCACCAAAGATAAAATTATGTAAAATTGATAAAAAAAAATTAATAAAAATTAGATGATTAATTCTTAAAAATTAATTTTTCATGATCATCAGCTAAATACATGATAAAAATTAATTTGGTAAAATAAATAAATATCTAAAAGATTTATTAATTTTAAGAATTCAAAAATATTTTTTTCACATTTATTTTTATCAAATTAGTTTATATTTTATCAAATTAACGATTTTGCCATTGAAAAAAATCCAATGATTTTTTTAATGGTCCTTATTTGGAACAAAATTCTAAATTCAAAGTCAAATATGTCATAATTAAAAAGTCAAGTATCAAATTGACACAAACCTCAAATTATAAGGACCGTCAGTGTAATCCGCCCTAATTATCTCCTATTATAATAAACACATACATACGTTGTGCACCATAGGTGCTATTAATAAAATTATCAGTAATGTAGAAAGAAACGGCCAATTCAACTGCCATTTTACAAAATAACATCTTCAAACCTCATATCTCAATATTCATTCCCCGAACATAAATATTTTATATATTTTGGTTCAGAATGGAACATATTCAATGTGTCGTACACATGTTAACTTAATCCCCACCCCAAGAAAGCAAACACGCATAGAAGCTTCCATGAAGCTTGGTTTTCCAATCCCATGATTTGACTATTCTATTTTACCATCCTTTCTTGCTTAGATCTAGTCTTCCGAACAGACCCTCTAAATAAATTCTTGTGCTTGTTTATTTCTTCAATTCAATCATTTTCAAAAACTCAGTTGAAAAGAAAGAAGAAAACACATCCCAACCCAAAAACCAAAAGCTCTTTTGTGCATCAAGAAGTTCTTTTTCTCAAAATGGTTATGTCATTCATTTGTGGCACTGGTTCTTTCAAACATCAGATAGAAGAAGAGGATGAACCTTGCAGCCCATGTTCAACACCAAGAAAGCAAAGGAAAAGCAACTTATGCAAAAGCAAAGACAGCAAGAACAACAACCCATATTCGGATCTCGGGCTCGACAAGTTCTCTGCACTTCTAGCCGAGCTTGAAAGCAAGAGGCAAAAGATTTACACCCAGGTTGGATCAGAAGGAATCTCTTTCGTACGATTCTCTTACTCGAACACCAACGATTGCAAGCCAATTGTGGTGAGAGTGAGAGAGAAACAACAAGAAGAAGAAGAGAAAAACAATATTCACATGAACAAAGATATTGAGCCCACTGCACATAATCCAGAGGTTGATAAGCCATCAACTTCAGGAAATGAATTGGGGGATCAGAAGATTATGAAGAAGAAGAAGAGCTTTCCATGGAAATTGAATATGGGTATGTTGAGAAGGCCTTCTTTCTACTTGCCTGCAGTTTTAATTTTGATTTTGTTGTTCTTGGCTGTGTTTGGGAGATCATTTGCTATACTGTGTACCTCTCTTGGGTGGTACTTAGTCCCTATTATCAATGGAACGAGCTCGAATTTCAACAACAGGCCAAGGAAGAAGAAAGTGTATGCAAGAAGAGCTAGTGAGAAGAAGATTGTTAATGATGGATTGTCTTCTCCTAAGAGTGTTATTACTGGAGCCATGAACGATCTCTCATCCCCACGATGTGGTCATCGGAGAAGCTTTTGAAAAGGATCCTTCTGATCATTTCTTGTGAATTTCTTCTTCCTTTTTTTTTCTTTTTTCTTTTTTCTTTTTTTTTTTTTTTTTTTTTTTTTTTTTTTTTGACCTGGTATGGTTTTTGGTGGTCAATTGTGTTGAGTGCATGTAAAAATTTTTGGCATGTTGTGTCTCTGATTGACTTGTTCATCATCAATGCAAATAATATGGGCTGAATTAGAAAGCTGCTCATGTTATTATAAGTAGCTGATTCGAGTTGTATAGTTGTTTTGTTATGAGTACCAATTTCATAACATGGACTCAATATCTGTTGGATTACATAGAAGATCCATTTGATATCCTTTTTATTTTTTATCTTTGTTTAATATGAAGCTAAATATGCATCCCTGTTAGACAAAGGATTCTCAGTTTTTTAATTTTTGTGTTCCGTTGTTACAATCCACTCTCAATTATTAAATTATATATTGAGATTCATATGATTCAAAACTTTCATATAATTTAATGGTTGAAATTGTTTTAAGACAAGACGACAAACGTTTGGATTCTTTCAAATTGGCCATCTCAACTTGAGAGAGGATCTGGACTTAGTGAGCCTATTTTGGGGCCAATTTTGGTAATTCGAACTGTTCATTTTTTAATTTTTTTTTTAAAATTTATTTATTTGTAATTGTCGTTCATTTTATTTTTTTAATGTGATTCAAATATATAGCTAAAATGTTCGATTATCTTAATTTTTTATATGAATATTCTACTCAATGAGTGCTAAAAAGTAAACTATTCATATCACTAAAATAAATCCCAAATTGAGCCCATCAAACAAGGATGGACCTAGAGGTTCACTCCTTTTCTTTTTTTTTTTTTTTAATTTTTAAATTCAAGTGATTGCTTTTCTATGTGTATAAAACATTGAATTAAATTATCAAATTAAAATCAATCAAGCAAAATATAATAAAATTGATAATTTTTTTATAACTAGCATTGATAACAAGTCCTATTTGTAGATAATAAAATAACGTATTAGCTAGTTGTTTGATCATGTTTATTGAGGAAGATATCATGCAAATTTTAAAATTGATTCTATCATGTAACACCCATTATCATATCCATTATCATAGTTCAATTCCAAAGATAACATGCGAAAGATTCTATATATTAATAAAGATTCTCTCGTTCAAATACATAATTAATGCAATAGGAGATACAATTAAATAATTTGCCTGCATGCTTACATCTTTGCACAAAAGAGAAAAGGTTCAACCATTTTACAACGACGGCGTTCCACCAACAACTAAAAAGTCCCGTGGCCAACAGATAAAGAAAATCATTGATCTTGGACCACTCTTCGACATTCACCTGAAAAAGGATTAGCAACGTGGGATAAACATAAAGTCTAGTAGGGATCCTAACAGGATCTTAAACAATAACTAGTTACAGATAGATATGATAATGGATGCTTCACATTATACTATATAAATAATGTGACAGTTTATAACCAAAGTATACGTATATAAGTACTTTTCCCCAAAGCCTTCCAATTTATTTAATAGTACAAAAGATTCACTTTTCCTTCTCATTCCCATTTCATAAATATTACATAACAACCATCACTACAAGAAAAATCACCTTTGGTGACTAAATTTTTAGTCGCCAAATGTCCATTTTTAGTCGCCAAAGTCGCTTTTTTACCTTCCCCGACTAAATTTTTTAGTCGCCGGTTTTGTCGCGAATAAACGGTCGCAGAAGGTTTTGGCGACTAAAAAGGTTTTAGTCGGCAAAAAGACAGGTCTTTAGCGACAAAAGTTTTGGTCGCCAATGCTCAATTCCACTGTTTAAAATTATACATTTGGCGACTAATCTTTTAGTCGCCAATAGTTGATGGAACGCCGACCAAACTGTTTAGTCGCCAAAACAAATACTTTTGGTGACCAATGTTTAGTCGCCAAAGGTTGTTCGGTGGAAAAAAAAAAAAAAAGGCTAACTTTTTTGCTTTTTCTGAGATTTGAACCACCAACCTTCTAAACCTTTAGCAACACACTTCTTCCACTATACTACTACAACATCACATGAATATATATGCAATATATATTATTTATGTACTATATTGACCCGTATTAATATAAAACTATATAAATAAATATAATTATTTTTATGCAATATAATTTATGTAAAAAATAAATTATTTACTAAAAAAAAATTGAAGCCACTTTTGGCGACTAAATATATTATTTAGTCGCCAAATAATGTAATTTTGGGCTACTAAAATATTTTTTAGTAGCTAAAAAAATAAGTTCCGGCTGAAAGTAGCATTTTTGGCGACTAAACCTGTTTTTAGTCGCCAAAAACGTCCCCTTTTGGCTACTAAACTGAACTTTAGTCGCCAATTGCCTGTTTTTAGCTACTAAATTTTTTTTAGTAGCCAAAAAGCTTCACTTTCAGCGACCAAACTGTTTTTAGTCGCCAAAAGACGTAGAATCGGTGACCAAACTATTTTTTAGTCGCCAAAACCTATACTTTTGGCTACTAAATTATTTTAGTCGCCAAAAACCGTCACTTTTGGCTATTAAAAAACCTTTCGTCGCTAAAACCTATACATTTGGCGACTAAAAACTATACATTTGGCGACTAAATCTGTTTTTAGTCGCCAATAACTATATATTTGGCTACTAAACTCTTTTAGTCGCCAAAAGTCTTCACTTTTGACTACTAATTCCATTTTAATCACCAATTGTGCTACTTTCAGCGACGAAAATTTGGTTTTTAGTCGCCAAAACTGCTTTTCCTTGTAGTGCCTTTTGCTTTGAAAACCTGTTCACTAATATCTGATTACTTCACAGTACTTACAACTCAACACATGACCTATGTCCATCTCTAACACGTTCATCACATTTCCTGGCCTTAAGCCCAAAGGTAAAGAGATATTTTTAACAACTAATTTGTTACGCCTAAATGCACACATGAGAATCTATTATGACAGCGAAAGCAAACACCCAACAAACAAAATGCCAATCTACCAGACCCAGCTGGAAGGTAGTGGTACGTTTGTCAATTCACCAAACACTGATTGGAAGGTAATGGTACATTTTCTCTAGGCGTTAGCTAAAAAGTACTGGTACCTCTCATTCTAAGAATAACCAATTCCCTAGGCACTAGTTGAAGGTAATGGTACATCTCATTCTCAGCGCAGTATACATCACCAACCATAACAACATATTAAAAGCATGAATACACAAGTGTAATACATACACATAACCTATTCAACACAATAGTGCCATCTTCCATTGATGACCAAGGACAAAACTTCTAAATGTATGTATTTAATACACGTAATACAATAATCGAATTCTCATGAGACCTTAAGTCCAACAATAACAATAATAAATAAAGTGTTCATAATCTAACCCTAAGTTCATCTCTTAATTTACAAAGAGTTATGATTTCATTTTCTTTCCAACATCAATTTCCTTATTCTCCAAGTTACAATACTCCAATTTGTATCCAAAAACCCATTTTCTTCATTTCGCAAAACCAAATCTATAGATATCAAGCCATAACCCAACTCAACTTAACTCAACATAATTAATCCAAAACAATCCCAATAGTAGGGTTAACTCTCTTTTTTAGCAACTAACACATTTGAACAATCCATATTAAATAAAACATAACCATTATTCAACTTTACTCCTCAATTTATTAAGTCAAAAATATTAAATTAGGAATTTTTCCTGAAAACAACTACCAATTTAACAATTATAACCTCCATATGTATCAAAACATAGATCCATCTTTCATCATTTTTGAAAAATCCATAATAAATATGATTTAATGTAATAAAAATCTACCACATATATATATATATATATATAAACGAGGTATTGGAATGGAGCAAAGAAATCCCTACCTCTTGAAGCAACGAAAAGAAAGTTAAAAAATCCACGGCAACAAAAACACCGCTCAAATTAAAATGAAGCTCTCGTCACCCTATACGTTTTGGTATATGAAACCAGGGGTAGAAAGTGACTAGAAATAAATGAAAGAAAGCCTGCTAGCTTGAAAACCCTAAGAAATGGCAGAAAGAGAAAAATGAGAGAGATAAGTTGAAAAAGTGATTTTTCAACGCATTGGCAGGTTATACATACGAACCATCGCGGCCATAGTCTAACTATTCGTGGGCGCAGTCTCACTAATTGCACAAATTGTGTATGTGGCCTTCACACCGTAGGTGCGACCATGGTTGTCGCGATTCGTGATCACGACCCTTCGTGGCCAACGCATACCCCCCAGGGCCAAACACCTAAACACTGCTTTTGGTCGCGACCTGGTTGCAGACTTGACTTTAAATCTTCGTCAGCCTGACCAGTCCATACAGAAAAGTCTAGGCTGCTACCAGTAGCCAACCCAAGACACTCCAAAGGTGCAAACCACCCCAAAACAAACCAAGTCACCTAGAACAATCCCATGTCCCAATCAAAAATAAAATGGGTCAAGTTTTTTTGACCCAAGCCACTACATATCATAAATGCTTTTATTGACATGAAAGAGCGTCAAACACAACTCAAGATACCTTACTTTAGTAAATAGATTATTTTTATAATTGCTATATTCTTCAATATGGATTAAAAAAAAGCTTATTTGTATATGTTTTCATCCCATTTTTGCTTTTTATATATCAGTAGAAAATTGATATTGCAATCCATACTTTTTAGTAAAATTTTTTGTTAGTATGTTTATTTTTGCCTACCCTATGTGAAATTCTTGGATCCTTCCTGCAGACACCCCATTTTTGACCGACCTTAAGACTCAGACGTCACTGATTGAGCGCTCGGTGATATTGCATATTGTGCTCGTTCAGAAGTTTCAGAGTCTCGGCTGCAAGCCTTGCTTCCGGACTTCCGGACTCTTTCGTGCCTTACCTCGGTTTGCGAATCAGGCTCTGTTTTCTCTGTTTTCTCTTCTCGAAGGGAGAGAGAGGACTTATAGATCATCTCTCAGTGACCGTAGGCTACGTTTCGTGGTCGTAGGCCATTTTTCCCATTTGGAGCCCGGTTTCTAGTTTTTCGGAGACGACGACTGTGTGCCTCGGTTCGGGACCGCCTAATCACCTCCGTTTGCTCTGGTTTTTGGTACACATATTACTCACTCCCTTTTGGGAGACACTGTGGCCCGAGAGACCAACTTCGTGGTCGAATGTCACCTTCGGTGCTTAACAGCCCATTTTTGGGGCCCCGGGCCGCGCGTTTCGGTCCCCGAACCTCCGTTTTACATCCGTTTTGATTCATTTTTGGTGGAGACCTTATTTTCATTGTTAGAAAGCTTGTAGGAGGGTGGGAGGCCAGCAATTGTTTTGAA